CTAGGATTCCTTGTTAACTGAATGCCCATTTCCATGTCTCTATCTCTCTCATCTGCAATATGAGTTGAGAAAAACGAGCACAATGAGTATGTCCTTGGCAGAAATCTCATTGCTTAAAAGCGACTTTCAAGCCTTGACTACTCTACTGGTGAATGGGTTCCTTTTGTAAATGTTTCAACACAATTCACGGTTCAAACTACTCTAGCCTTCTACAGAAATAAATTTCATGGCAGAGTACTCTTTTTTTTGTTTCTTTATATATCACTTTATTAGTACTCCACCAAATAAGCAGTCTTGCTCTATCCCTTTACTATTCGTTCTTCGTAGGCACTTCCTGATCATTCTCTGCCCTTTCTTGCATTCTCTCCACCTTCAGTTGAACTACCAAAAGGTAGGTTACTGGTTCTTAGTTTTACTCTTCATGAAATGATTTGTGTAAGTTCTAATAAATGCATTTGCTATATATCCTTCTTCTCATATTTTGCTTTTCAAACATCTTCCTGGTAGCAGAACAAGAATATCTTGGGACTTTTGAATGCTTTTGAGGATGAGTTCAGAGTGCAGAGTTCATGGCTTGTACTTCTCTTGGAGGTCTCAAAATTTGCTTTTCATACTCATGTTATGCTTTCCGAGTCGCTTTTGGCCTCTAGTTTGCTATTAAGGCTATAAAAAGTTCTGTCTCATAACATTTGGATCCCTACCATATAATATTGTCTACATTGGTTAATATACACGTTCTTCCTCTGTGTGTGAAGGTGGAGATTTCTAGTGGCTAAAAGATCAGGTAGCTCTCTCTACCATTAATCTTAAATATGGGAAAGAAAGTAGCGATTAATCTTTATTCTGTCTTAGGATATTACACTTTAGCAGAAACCAAGCAAGCACTAGAAACTTGACTTCTAGCAATGCTGCCAGCTTTATAGTTTGGGTGATTGACCTATTTGAGTGCCTTCTACGCTTGAAAAGAATTATACGTACGCATAGTTGTGCCTCATTTGCCAGACTTTCCAGCAAAGCATTCAAGTAATCATTTAGTTAGCATTCTCGTGATGCATATATATTCTGCAAAGTGGTTTCAGTCTATTGTTTCCTTGAGGATGATATTTTTAATAGAAGCTGAGACATTTTCGTGGTCCCATAAGATGTTTGTCTGATATATATATATATATATATATATATATATATATATGGCCTTGAATATCTAAATACATATTAACTGGAAGCATGCACCACCATGCTTGCTGCATATTGCATCTGCGTGCACACAAAAGCCATTTCATAACTTTATGTTCCGTTGATCAGTACGAGTTGCAAGCATTTAAATTTGCTTTTATTATAATCTTCTCGACCAGATCATAAAATCCAATACAAACAATTGATTAAGGCGGAAATAGCTAAAGAAGAAAGAGGCAAAGGGAATGCTTTCTAACACTGTTTCATTAACATATATATATATATATATATCTGATCAACTGCCGGGTCGATCAATGAACAATGCCTCTGGCTGTTATACATAAACCGTAGGCCATAATAAAATGCCTTTACATGCAAACAACAATGCTGTAATTAACTCAATTCCTCACAGCAACACTCCACCTAGCTAAGAATATTTCTTCTTGCTAGAAACAAGATTCTTTCACTGACTAAGTTTTTTGATACTAATAATTTAATACTATGAGCTAGGAGCTCAACAGTTAAAGTTAAGCTGTTTTTTTTTTTTATATATAGTTTTATTATGTACAGAAAATTTAAATCATAACTTTCCTCCTTTTTTCTTCTTTTGAAATTGAATATCCTACGATCAGTACTATATATACTGTCGAAATAAGTTTAAACAAAGGACCGGTCACTTCCACAGATCAATCTGACAACTGGATGTTGATGTTGATGCATTTTCCGGTACCATTTCTTGCCTGTTCAGGTGTCTGATGAGCAAATTCGTCTGCTCCGATGAATGGAAGACATTATTGGCCGCTGAAGCACTTGAGTAATTATTTTCTCTGGCAACATCTTCTTGACTGAGCTGAGAAGCAACAAACTTGTCAAGAGCGCGCCAATCTGTCAATTGATCCACCGCTTGCTCATTGCTGCTGTTACCGTAGAGCGCATGCAAGTGTTGCTGATCATGAGTTTGTTGAATATGATCTTCCTGTGTTAGGGTTGAAGACTGTAGAGTGCTGGCATTGTTCATGTCTAGGCCATATGCAGCCATGGAATTGCCGCTTACTGCACCGGCCGGTGTCTGGAGTAGTTTTGGGCTCTCTAGAAGTGGTAGCTGGAGGTAATGCTCATGGGGGACTTGGTACTGCAAATCAAGCTCTTTCTTGCAGGAATAGGGAATGTGGTAAGCCATATTAGAGTGGGATGTTTGCTTTGGTGAATCTAGATCTGGAATGAACGAGACTTGATCATCATACCAACATGGAGATTCATGCTCACTGACTTTGCGGATAGTTGCTATTCGCTTCTTGAATACCCTACACACAACCCATCCTTCTTCCTGCTTCATTCAGATAAAAAAAAAAAACAGAAAAAGGAAAACCAAATTAGTAATTTTGCATATAATTTCAATTTCATCATGTCATAAAAGTAGAATAGGTAGATATCTACGAACTGGGTGCTTTATTACAATTTCAATAGCCAAAATGTTCAGGGGTTTCTTGCATGCATGTCGTCCTGAACTAACTATATGCTTTACTATTTCACATGTATAATTAGGACCTCACAAACATGTATGTACTTTATCTTCTCCCATATTTAGTTGAATTATTATCTAAGAATCAAAGGAAAGGGAGAGTTGAAAGCCTGATTCTCTTCGACATAAATATCAGGATGAGTAACACTGGACATTATCTTATGAAGAAGAAATAAAGGCCATGAAAGGTTATCTTATTCCCCACTGTAGGAGTAAAGAAGAGAACAAGCATTAT